TAATATTTGTATCCAAAAAAATAAGGTATCTCAATAATATATGATTATTAGTTATTTCACGTATACGGATGAATGCGCACAAGTCAAACTTATTTTTTCGATATGTATATAACAACGTAATGCTTTCATTTTCTGCATACAGCAACGTCGATACATTACATTATTGTACTCATCGCCAGCGCACAAGGCTTCGTACAAAGTACAGCTAGCAAACGTAAGTTTTTTGCAAATGTAGTCTCTTCAAAAGGCCTTTTTCATCATCAGTTTGCAGCAGATTTTTCTGAGTTTAAGTAGTAATACTATTCGTGTATCCTATTATTTTCATATCGTAATAGTTATTCTCCTGACATCGAAAACGCTCCGAAGTCTTGTACGAAATGAATAGCAGATATTAGTTATTGTAAAGCTATTCTCTTGGCAAAGCGTCTGTAGCAAGAGTTGTCAATTCGCTTTGTGAATTCCACCATAGAAAACAAAAGTGCTTCCGAAAGTTTTCGTGAAAAGAGTTCTCTTCAAGTGGGTTTTTGTCGAAGAATTTACTTAGGATAATGCTCTCAGAGCGAATTGTTTTAATTGTGTAATATCTGTTTTTGTGATGTCGACAAAATTCGTGCGGGTTGATCTGGAAAAAATCGTGTTCCCCCCAAAACACTGCAGTTGTTAAGATTGCTTAGAAAAGTTTGAAGTTATTGTGAAGAACTAGGATAATGGAATCATTTCATGCTAATGTTGTTTGAAACTCTATGATGAAGATAAAAATCATAAATGATTCTTCAAGAACAGACAGTGGGCACACAGATGTTGAGATTTGTGCAAAGACTGCTAAACAATACTATGCACAGTCAGCTGCATTCTGAAGTTGTGCTACTTTGAATAGTTTACGTAAGAATGGTGAGGTAAAGCGCGTAAGACAATAACTAGTAGTTCTTTAAAAAATAAATGTTCTACGTAGAAGCTTTTAGATGCTGCTTCATTACCAGCAAGAGATGCGAGTCAGTATCAATGAAAACACTTTCAAAGTTACCACTGATAGATTCTCGTAGTTTTACTATTATAAGTTTGCCCTTTTATGTCTGCATTTCTGCTATCTCGGCAGATGTTCTAAGCCAACTAGACGAGAAGGGACATTTAAGTTTGCGTTTAGCACTGAACTGTACTATCGCCGCCGTTAACAATATGGAGATTACAACGAGAACTCATTTATTCTGACTCAACTGTTAATTTGAAAGGGTGTTGGAAACAACAAATAAGTCAGGGAATCTTCAGAGCAGGCATTATTTTTAAAGTGGCTTAACGACTAGAACTACCCACCGTATTGCTCGATCATAGCCAGCAATCATAAACACTTAGTAAGTTTATTTTTGTATGACTTGAAAGGATCTATTCATTCCAGGAGACAATGTGAGAACGCTATGGAAAGAACACGGGCCAGTAGGTCATCACGCAGGACACTCCCCATTCAAATGTTTCTACGGCTTGCATTGTTTAAAGGACTTTTCTTCTATTTACAAACAATCCTACATCCTCTAAATTAGTTGCTATACCATTCGAAAGCTTTCTATGAATGGTAGAAGAAAATTGAAAAATATGCATCATGAAGCACAATATGATGGTAAATTTTAGAAAGAGAAATTGCATATTTCCAATAACTAATTGTGCTGTTAACAACTTCAGTAGAACAATCTTAGAAATCAGATAGTGACTCCCATCAATGCTATATCCATCAGAGAGGAGTATAGCATTGGTGAGCTTTGAATTTATCATGTTTCATATGATAGAAAAAAAAGTGACGATGCAATGCAACTTCATTAGCTTCAAGAACAATCTTAGGGCCAATACTAACACGTCTGGTTTCCAATTCTTCTTAGTAAATATACTATAGTTGGGAGAGAAGTGAGATGTGTTACATATCCGGAAAACTTTGGATGCTAGAGTAGTGTAAGAAGATGTGGAAGAGATGCTGTATCTTTAAACACCATCTCCATGGATGATGGTGCATCTTTTCTCTCAATTTCATAAAAATTACTTCATTCAGCCAAAGTCATCAGATATGGCTGTATATGTGTTTGTCCATATTTCCTTCCCCATGATTGTTTGAGAGTTATGTTAAGAGACAGAGCATCTCGAACGAGTGTCACATCTTTCTACACTTCTTCAGCATCCCAGATTAACAAGGCATGTAACATTACCGAGCAAAAAAGCAGTACTAGCTAAGAAAAGATGAGCAACGATGATCATCTTGTTCTTTTTACGTCGTTCTCTCTGTTGCTCATTCATTTTCGTGTCTTTTCCCAACGGTACAACTGTTGTCTATCTGCCTGTCTGTCATTCAATTACTTCTTTTCATTTTCCGACCCCCATGAACCTTATAAGTTTAGCAAAGTGGATGCACACTCGAAAATAGACGTTTTTCAACAAAAGCGAACTGCTCGATGATGATGAAAGTACGGACTGTGCTTCAATCACACATGCATCATCTCGGTCGAGCTAGTCAAGGAAAGACAAGCAAATGAATGCCCTGTTCAGATGAAGATTCCTGACTAACACCAGTATCCGAGAATGTTACTAACCTAAGAAGTTTAACCAAGAGAGTCGAAACTAGTACAGGGTAGAACTCACAGCGACATTTATTCCTCTCTATACTCCTAAAGTCGATTTGATGCCCATATTCGAGTGGAACCAAATGGAAAGAGATTCAGATAGAACAATGTTCCTATTGACTTTGCCGATAAAACGCCAACTATGCTGATTCATATTAAGATGAACAGGGATTCGACTGTTTTGGAAAACATGCAACTTAGTCTACCATCGATTAGATGCAATGATGCACTCATGTTCGAACTTACACGCATTCGTTTTCGATCTTTTCGAAAATCTCACAATCAGATCGCTCACAGTGTCATATTTCGATTGACAGAATCATCAAAACAAAATTGGACAGTAGGAATTACTAAGTTGATAAGTTTTTACACGTCACAAATACTCATTCCATAGAAACAACCTCTCATGTGTAGACATTGTGCTAGTTAAATCCTTGTTCGAAACCGCCACCAATGTAGCACATAGAATTATTCTCTCTCAAATGAAATGAGTGACACCATAGAAAACCCATCGAGTTGTCTCTGGCTGTCGCCAGACACTTTCAAACATCTAGTGCTTATAAGACCTGAAGAGCTGATTATGCCTGGTGCGAAAATGTTGGGAAGAAGTTTCTACTTTGGATGAGAAAACTTCGAAATACGTTGATAGAGCTTGAGAAACGAACCAGATGTTAAAGTAGTGTGAGAGTTTTTTATTAGAAGAATTTTTTCATGCGTACTTTAGAATCGGAATATGGAGCTTCATACATTTTCAGATAAACTGCATAAAATTCACACTCCTAATGGCATTTCCTTTTTTTCAGGATTTCTCGAGAATAGTTAGATGAAAAATTCTAAAATTTTGACTGCAGATAGATTTCGGAAGTGAAATTGCAGCTGCGCTAGATCCGACTTTATATAATGCTCTTTTCTATAATGCACATGAGTCACAAATACTAAAAATCATCCATGCTTTGCTCCTATTTCTTCGAAGCATTATCTACAATCAAGTTGAACTTTCACAGAGGTAGTAGCCATTGTTTGGAATGGATATTCTTTTGTTACCCACCCATTTCTACTTTAGAAAATCATATTTCTCTTAAAAAATATGTGTTTCCGCTGAACTTTCTCCCTAGAATTAGAAATGTTATTTTCCTGTTAATTAAACATAAATATGAATTATCAATAATTTATATTTTAAAATAAGTATGAGCTACCATCATTTATATTTACAGTCAATATAAATTATCATAATTTATATTGACTGTCAAATATAAATTATGAAAAAAAAGTTATATTTAGAACAAATATAAATTACTGGTAATTTAATTTACCCATAAATTAAATCGAAAATAAATATAAATTGACACCCATACCAGAATAAAAAAGTGATAGGATCGAAAGCTACTTGACTCTGTTTTCTTGTTTGACGAGGTAAAAATCGATGACTTATTTCTAGTCGTGAAATTTACATAACTGCTGAATAAACTTCGCTTAAAGTACAATTTGTTCCCAGCCTGAAATAATAATCTCATCGAAATCTACGTAATTCTTTTTCCTTTCACTTTTATTTCTTCCGAGAGTGAAAACGTAATGTGAGCGGAATCTACTCAGTCTCTTCTGATATCTTTCAGTGAGGATATAAGTCGAAGGATGATTTCTCCGGTGTGAGTATTCGATTTTCTCTACTGTAAATGACCATAAGTTATGTATGCTGCCACTTTGAAAGTGGTTCTTGCTGAGTTGTGAGGGATGAAGGGTGTCTACTATCAATGGAAAGATGTTGTGATTTTCAGGGCTATTTTTCAGTCCTCGTTCCTTGGATTGTGTAAGCTTTATTATTTCTAAGAGTTGCGTAGCTGTAGGTGTCTGTCCTTTTAGATGCGTTGACTTTCAGCCATGTCTTCAGCTTACTGATTTTGAGCGAAGTTGAACTGTGAAGAGTTGCAGGAATTGAGGACTCATTGAATATGGTCACTGGAGAAAAATCTGTTATTTATTAAAATCTCTAAGCTACCGTCCGAATCCCAAAAATATTCAACTTCTTTTGTTCATCTGATAATAATTTTTCTCGTAATTATACTGGCATAGAAACATCAGCCTGTTGTGTCTCTCGTATGCAGTATGACTTCGAATACATGTCTTAAGTCCAGTTTTCTATGAAAAAATTTCAAAAACCAAAATCTGACATTAGATATCAATCATCCATTCATAATAGCTCTTAGATCAAGTTTCATCGAATATTGGAAATTTTTGTGTTCATTACGCCCAACAGTTGTACAGTACAGTATTCGAGTTCAATGAATTTCTTTGGAAGCATTTCTCTCATATGAACTAACTGATCAACTTTAAGTCCCTACTCCATCAATTTAAAATATGCAAAGACTTTCTTTTCTAGTTACATAGATTAAGAAATTAATCATGAGTCGAAGTAAAGTATTGCTGTTTTTATTTTTAATTGCTTCAATGATTGATGTATGCGGAGCTATTAATAATAAATTGCCTGCAATTTATTATGGTAACCAAGGCTGGAATATGAACCAAATTCAATCGTTTTCATCGTGGGTCGGTAAACGTCCGATAGTAATCTTACTTTTTACTGATTGGTGTAATACATCAATGACTAATTTGTTCAATTATCAGCTGAATAATATTTGGAATAGTGGCAGTATTCCAGCGATTACATGGGAACCATTTGGCTGTGGTGGTAGCAGTCAACCGGGTATAATGAAATTAATTCAAAATAACAGTTATGACACATACATAAACCAATTTGGAAATAATTTGAAAACATGGTTAGCGGGGAGCGATGGTACTTTAGACAATGGTGACGATCGAAGAGCATATCTTCGATTAGGTATGATATGCAGTCAGAAACTTCTAATGTGTATTCTTCAAACTAGAAAGCAACATAACTGAAATGATATATATATCTGATTAATTATCGAAAAACAGAGAGATTAGTGACTTCATTGAATAAGTAATTAAATAATCAACGAACTCTCAATCACACTCATTAGTGAGAGTCCATTCGATCATCTCACAAGTGGCCAGATTAAAAAAATTGAGTAGCTTTCTACTAGTATTTTATGTCGAGTGACATTGGGGAAAGAGCGTTTCTCACCCTCTCCGTTATCGTCTGCGAAATTAGGGTTCCTTGCTCTTTGGATGTATACAGTTT